TTGCTGAACTATGAAATATTTTGTTGTACTTTTTGCATACAGGTATAACAGAATAGCTTTAGTGTTGTTGTTTATTTAAACTTGAGTATGAACTTATACAAAAAGCAGCAACATATTAAAAAAACAGTTTTATTGATTAAAAAACACTATATCGGATTCATATCGGTATCGGCAGATATCCAAATTGATGATATCGGTATCGGACATAAAAAAGTGGCATCGTGCCATCTCTACACTGGAAACAATATTTATGATAGATTTTCTGATCGTTGTGATCTCCGTCTTGTTGTTAAAGAGCGTACCACTTAAAACCTGTTTAAAATCCAGTTTCAGATTTGTAAAAAAAACTTTCCTCCGTCTGGATCCCATTTTAATGTCCAAACACGGACGTGCTCAAACAAGAATTTAACAGTTTACAAAACAAACCATGTCTCCTTCGTCCAGGTCCCAGGAGACCTCACCTGTATCTGGTTCTCTGGCCCTGTCCACAGGAAACACTGCAGGGAGCCCAGCTGGACCAGGAGCTCCAAACACAGGCAGCCTGGCAGCTGTCATTGCTGCAGAGCAGCTGTCCGTCAGAGCAGGTGCAGTTGTTGCAGTCCACCTGATGCGTGCTGCCGGCCACCCAAATCTGCCCCAGTGAGTCCACACAGTCACACTGCCACAGCTGCACACACACCCCGTCCTGCTGCAACTGACCTAAACACACACGTACAAAAGATACGCAAACCACGATTCATGCTAATGAAAAAAAATTAATTCGTTTTAACAAAACAATTCTAGATGCAAATCTCATCACTTGGCAGCAGAATGACGCCTTGCACTGCACAGCTACTCTGAAACATCATCTAAATGAGATGTCATCTTAATGGTCCACAGGGCCATTACAGAATCACCAGTTAAACCTGTTGTTGTTGATTTCTGCCATCATATTTATTGTTGGGGAATTCTCCCAGACTCACTTTAAGATTTTTCCTCGTCTCACTCCTATAATGTCTTTGGAAAAAACGAAATTCTAATACTTGTGTGACGTCGAGCCGGCTAGGTTATTTATCTTTAAAAGATTTAGCCAGTTGTAAACAGTGGAAACAACTCTTACACCTAAATAACCCAAACAAGGTCAATCAAACATCAACAGAATATGACTGGCTGCCTGATAATGCTGTTAAACTGAAGGCCTGTGTTACCTGTTACAGTCCGCTCTGCTTTTGTTTTACCACTGATGAGCCAATTCAACAGTTTCTAACTGGAGTAAACACCATTTGTAACTGAATTACGTCTCTTAGAAGGTTCTACTGAGAACTGCAGAGAACTTTTACGCTGAGTCAGCTGTGTGCAGATATCTTGGGGGTTCCTGTGCACATGTTGGGGATTCAGGGCTCTGGGAATTTGTATATTCTCAGAACGCCGAATCCTAAAGAAGGCAGAGGAGTTATAACAAAGCCATTTCTAGACGCGAAGCTATTCTCTCAGTGGAGAGCACAGAACAGTTTAGGGGTTGAATCAGTGCCAGGAGAGGAACTTTTCGGACAAAGACACTTGTGTACCTCGAGGGCAGCGGCAGCCAGGCTGACATTCGCTGTTGGTCTGGCACTCTATGCCCTGCTGGAGGTCTGAGCAGCGCTGTGGACACTGGCTGGCACACATCACAAACTCTTGGCCTGGTGGGCACCCTCTATCATCTGACAATACACAGACAGCAGTTCCTGAGTTTTGCCATGATGCTATCTGCACAGGCTGAACACACACTCCTGTAGATAAACAGCCATATGCTGGAACAATGACGAGCCAAACGCAGGACGTGGTAGATCAGACTCACCGCACGGTTTGGTGTTGCAAGGTTTCACTTGGTTCTTCTCTCCTGCACACTTCTTTCCACCATTTTTGGGTGGAGGACTAGAGCAGGAGCGAGTGCGTATCGAGCGTCCGCCGCCGCAACGCTTATCACAGCGCGACCACGGACTCCACCGGGACCAGCCTCCATCAACTACACAACATCGAACACAAACGCAGACCAGTAAGTGAAAAATGAAACTCTCTCTTTGGCTTTTTAACTATTCCTTCACTGAAGAGTTTGAACTGATAATTACAGCTGACCTCTGCAGGGTTTGATGTTACAGAAGCGATGCTCCACGTTTCCTCCGAGGATGTCCTCGCACCACGAGCCGTTTGTTCCGGGGCTCAGGAACGTTCGGATCCTCTGCTGCTGACCCACGCCGCAGGACCGCGAGCAAGCGCTCCACTCTGCCCACTTGGTCCACGAACAGTTCCTTCGCGCACACTCGGCCTCTACACACACCTCGCCTCAAAACAGAAACACAAAACACATAAGCTTGGTTGACGCTTG